GAGAGAGAGAGAGAGAGAGAGAGAGAGAGAGAGAGAGAGAGAGAGAAAGGGAGAGAGAGAGCGGGAGGGAGAGAAAGAAAGATGGAGAGAGAGGGGGAGAGAGAGAGAGAGAGAGACAGAGGGAGAGAGGAAGGATTTCGTTTAGTCGCAATACGTGCTTACAGTAGTGTCGAGAGAACGAGCTTGCCTGTTCTTTCTTTAATTTTTTTCTTTTTTTACCGAAAACTTAGATGCATTAGAGAGAATTAGTCGCGAGAGAGAAAGCCAACGAAGGGAGCACGACGCGAAGCGAAAGGATATACTTTTTTTTGTCCGTCAGAAATTGTCACGGCGCTTGTATGTTTTACAAACGACACGATGCGCGGTGTGCATATATATACTATATACACACACATATATATATATATATATATATATATATATATATATACATATATGAATATATTGTGTATATATGTACATATATATATACATACATATATCTATATAATATACACATATATACATATATGTAACATATGTCAGTAACTGTGTATTCTGTGGATCGAGTAGTGCCGGGCTTTGTCGCGTTATTACGTTATATATAGCAGCACAATCCATCTAGTATCGTATCGTCGGGATACTTTCGGAAATAGATTAAAGAGAGAAATATCTAAAAAAAAAGAGAGAAAAATAAAATTGTAACGTAAAGTAGAAGAAAGTAAAAAGAAAGAAGAAGAGAGAGAGAGATAAGAGAGAAAAAATGTGAGAGAAAAGATGAGAGAGAGAGAGAGAGAGAAGATGAGAAAGAGAGAGAGAGAGAGGGAGAGAGAGAGGAGTTTTTCCGCGGGGTTAGAGAGCGCCGGAGGGAATACAAGAAGTTGATGTTCTTGTTTGTTTGGTTGCAGGAGTTGATGGGTGTGGATGAGCGGGTGTATGCGTGCATGTACTGCGGTGCCTCGTTCCTCCACCAGAGCAAGCTGACGCGGCACATCCTCTCGCACAGCCTCGAGTCGCTCAAGTACCGCGAGCAGGCGGCCCACCTGCAGCTGCAGGCTCAGCTGGGCCTCGAGCCCGGCATGCACCTGCCGCCGGAGGCCCACTACCCCGCCGCGGGTACGATCGAGCCGATGGACTTCGAGCTCGCGGCCCACTCGGATCCGACCTCCGGCGTCGTCCTCTGCAAGTTCTGCGGCAAGTCCTTCCCGGACGTCGGCTCGCTGATCGCCCACCTACCGGCGCACACCGGCGATCGGCCGTTCAAGTGCGAGTTCTGCGGCAAGGCGTTCAAGCTGCGCCACCACATGAAGGATCACTGTCGCGTGCACACCGGCGAGCGGCCGTTCCGGTGTACGCTGTGCGGCAAGACCTTCTCGAGGTCGACGATACTCAAGGCCCACGAAAAGACACATTACCCCAAGTATGTGCGCAAGTTCCTGTCCCCGAGCCCCGTGGACCCCTCCGAGGAAGAGGCTCCGCCGCCGCCACCACCGCATCATTGAGTTCGCCTTAGCCTCAGCAGAGATCGCCGCGCCATCACCGGTGCCGACGATGACGACGACGACGACGACGACGACGACGATGATGACGATGGCGACGACAACAACGACGATCGCGATGGACCCGGTGGGCTTCTACGCGTCCGCGTCGTTGTCGTTGATCGCGCCAACGGGCCGACGACGGCGGTATTGTCCACGCTTCCGGTACCGCCGCCGTCGTCACCGCTGCCACCGCCGTCACCGTCGCCATTGACGTCGCCGCTGCCGCCGCCGTGGATGCCGTCGCCGTCGCGACCGCGACAGCGACGCGTCCCTACGACGTTTTTCTGCATCCGCACCCCCGGTACCCGTCTCCTCTCGTCCACCTGCTGCTGATCGCGCGCGTAGCGACGCGCCGCGACACGCCCGCGGACCGTGACGCGCGACTCTCCCCGCGTTACGCGGTCCGAATCGAGCGACGGGGCAAGATAAGCTGGCGGTATTTCTAGTTAGTCCTGTGATTTTGGTTAGGATGGTTGGTAAATGCGTGTTCAGGGGGAGGGACACGTTAAAACGAGCTCCCTCGTTTAATCAGTGCTTTAAGACGAAACGTTTAGCTTATTATATACATATAAATATAAATATATATAGATATATATATAAATTATATATACGTATATATATATCGATAAATTATTGAAGGTATATATATACATATACACACACACACGAGCGAGATGGGGTTAGTGAAAGGAAGAGAGCGTAAAAAAATGGGAGGGTATAAGCGGGCATAGCGAAACGGAACGAGAGGTTAAACGGGGTGGAGGCGAAAGGAAATTTGAGTCGCCACGGTTGGTGCTTTTAAGAGATTTTGATAAAATGCTGTGAATATTATATTGATTACGATTAACTATAAATTATTGTAATAATGTACTGACATTGTACGCGATGTACGATGCGACTGTTGTTGATACGATTGAGAATATTTTATACAGTTGACACGGGGGGTGGGAATAGAACGCGCGCCGACGATACAGACACGACCGAAGCCGAGGGTGGGTGGGGAAGGGGATAGGGAGGAAACGTCCACTTAGCAAAATTCGACGCAGTGCAATTCGATTCGGTGGACAGGTATATGAATCCGTAATAGAGAAAGAGCGAGTGAGAGTAAGAGAATGTGAGAAAGAGGGAGAGACAGAAAGAGAGAGAGAAAGAAAGAGTACTATGTGTCTCTATGTGTGTGTGTGTGTGTGTGTGTGTGTGTTTGCTTGTTTGTACGAAGGAGAGAGAAAGAGTGAGGTCCATATTAGTAATTGTCACCCGAAATTGTCTCATGTGAGATGCTCAGATCTTTATTCAGAGTTAGATTCAAGATTTTCAGTTGAATTATACGATATATGTGACATTTGTATCTGTAATCGCGATTCAACCGAAAAACTCTCACCTAATTCTGAATTAAAATATCATTATGTTGCTTATGAGACAAGTTTCAAGTAATAATTTCAATTAATATGGGCCTATAAGAGCGAACAAGAGAGAGAGAGAGAAAGAAAGAATGAATGAATGAATGAGTGAGTGAGTGAGTGAGTGAGTGAGTGAGTGAGTGAGTGAATTTATTTATTACGAGTGCGCTGGCGTTATTGGCTTCGTCGAGTAACTTTCGTTCCTGACTTTGATCGGCGACAACATCTTCGCGCTAATCGTCGCGAGTCGACTGTTCGCGGACGTCCGATGCGCGAGTCGCCGCGCGTCGCCAAACGGTAAATCCAACCTCTCTCTCGCGCGCGCGTCGTCAGAACGCCTCGCGTTCCGTCTGCGGAGATCTCGCATATCGCACTCATAGACTCACAAAGGCAGACCGCTCATTCTTGAGGCGGCTGAAGCCAAGAGTAAAGGACAGAGATACGCTGAGTAAGGTTCTTTCTCTGTCACATAGTGCTATAGGAAGAGAGTGGTGACGTAGGAAGGGATGATGTAGGGGAAGCAAAGGAGAGGGAGTACGCATTGACCATATAATCGCTTCTCCTCCTTCGTTCTCCCCATTAACTAGACAATTAGACGAGGAAAGCATCTTACTCGCTATTGCTCTCTCTTATTAATACTGACTCCAGCCCTCCAATGGGAATGCACCGTCTATCTCTATAAGTTTATGATCTCCCCTCCAGAGAGTACGTCCTCCGCAGCGCGTTTCCGTGACGTTTTCGCGCGCGCGGTCGAATGTTCCCGCGGTTGCCATCGCGTAGTCTCCCTCGGATCCGGCGTCCTGGAACGGGCCGAGGGTACGCGACGACGCGCGGTGGCCATTGAAGACAGTGCAATACCTGACTATACACACACACCGCGCATTATACTTTTTACTTGTAGTCCGATTCTTATTTAACTTGCGTTCTCATAAGGTAGTTAGATAGCCCAATCGCGTCAACTCGGTCTCCGGGTGATACACGTTTGTTCGTTTCGTTCCATGCGCCTTCGTCTTTAATTTATTTATAGTCCTCAGGGCAAACGGGGATATACTTGGACGCGCGCGTGCTCTTGGAAGGAACACCGTGAGACCGTGAGTGACCATTCGCGCGGCGCGACTAGCCTCTCCCGATGGTCGCCAGGATATATCGACAGTCCCGTCTCGAATCGCAAAGCTCAATGCGCAAAGGCCCGCATAGAACATTTCTTGGGATCTCCTTGGCATCCAGTCCGACTCCTCAAAATAATTATGGGTTCTGGTTAGAAGTGTAATATTTCAAACATTGACCCCCAAAGTTTTCCCAACATTCTTCCTCTGTTCCTCGTTTTACACTAGAATTGAGCAAAACATGTGCCAACTTTTTAAGTAATTTTATTATCCAGGAAAATACTCAAACTATTTCAGAAAATTTTATTTTTTCAATCTTTTATTCTCTGTTGCATACAACAGATGATACAAAAATAGGTTTCTCTGTTTTGATAAAAGTAAACCGATGTTATCGACTCGAAAAAAAAGCGAGTTTCCATAATATTTCTGTTTCGATTCTAATCAGAAAACCCATGTTTGGACAAAAATGGGATTCCCAATTGTGGGAATCCCACAAAGGGGAAAAGGGTGAGATAACCAACTTTGGGGGAAAAAATTTGGGCATTCTAATCGGAACCTGTATTGTATCTGAGAAAATCTTGGGAAATTTCTATGTGGGGCTCCGCGGTAGGAATCGACACAACACAGCGAGGTTTGCGACGAGAAGGCTCGTTCGTGGAACAAATGTTCAGCGATAGTCCCGCTGACGTACCGAAGTGTGGCTTGAAAATTCATCATTTATTCGCACGACTCTTTGAAGTTCCAACGATTGTAGTCGTCCCGGTAATCGAGTCCCAAGTCGGTCGCGATTATCGCATCGTCGAGAGACCCCTTTTCCCGATCATTCGTGATTCACGATGACACCGCGTGGAACTTCCCGCAGAGGGAATGAAGAGCAAGATCAGCCGCGTTTCCGTCCGCGAATGTCAGCACGCCTCCATCTACACGGTGACCTCGCGTTTTGCGTGTACGATCGAGTGACGACACGAGAACCAGTATTCGAGATACTTTTGTTTTCCTATTAGGTAAGGTAAGATAATAATTTAGCACGCACAGGGCGGCCTGTGCGAGGCGATGTTTCTTGTGTTCTCTCTCTCTCTCTCTCTCTCTCTCTCTCTCTCTCTCTCGAAAGGAAAAAAAAAAAGAAAGAACGGTGCGACCGTTCATCGTCGTTGGCAATGCCGACGTCGTCATCGCCGTCGCCGTTGTCGTCAGTGGCGGTCCGATTCCTCGTAGACGAAGGTACAAAGCGTAATTTCCCCATTGATTTCTCGCCGGGCAATTTAATTCGGCTACACGCGAGCGCATGAGGACGAAAAACAGGCGCGTCTTCGGGACCCTCGCGGTAAACACTATCGTGGCCGGGGCAATTGCACGCGATTGCGAGCGACGAGCAAACGAGTTCTTTTCCCCGTCTCTTCCTTTAAGCGATTCGGCGAGCGCATTGTATATTTAGCAGCCACTTACTTTCCATCGTTCTCCTCGCAAGAGCTCTCCCTCCCTCCCCCCGCCCC